CTCTCGAGCAGATGGGGAAACTGGATTAGGAGGGGACACGGCTAGAATCTTGTTCTCTAACCAAGCACTTTCCCCGTATGTTTCAGCATCAACAACCAGCAAAAACATTTGAACCTCAGTAGTTTCTTACAGCCTTTTATTTTACCCATATGTGACATGAAATTTACTGTCATCCTTTTAAATCTGTGTCCACCCTTAGTACCTCATGCCTGGAAGTCTGCAGAAAGTCTCAGGGCTACCAAAGAGGTTTCCTCTCGCTGGCTTTGCCTTTCAATCGGCAGATCTGCCAGGGGCAGTGTGTTGAGAAGGATTCTGAGGCTGCTTCCAGGCTCATAGGGGAGAAAACTGATTGTGATGAACAGTGTCTGCCAGGAGGAGAGGAGAGGAGCCGGGTGGCTTGCATGCATCTTGTCCGCCATGGCAGTGGCCTCAAAAGGAAGGGATTTGCCCGTGGCGGTGGGATGTGAGACCCTTTCAGATTCAGAGCCTAGAGTCTGAGGTGACCGCTTTGCTTGATAATTAGAAACGCAGCCAAAATCCTTATCAAAAACTGCTGCCTGAAGTCCCCACACTGGAAGCTCTTCTGCAGCAGCTGGTTGCAGGAGGCCCTTGCTGACACGCAGGGATCCCACGGTGTTTGGCGTTGTGCTCCTTCCGCGCCCCGTCAGCTTACCTGTACCCACGCAGGCTGAGTGCGCGGGCAGGGGACAGGTGACTAGGGGGACATGGGAGCTAACCTAAGCCTCCACCCCATCCCACATAGTTTCTCAGTTCTAAATTTGTTTGAGAACAGGACATAAATGGGATGAGAGGATGGGGAGGAAGACAGGACCTGCCGATTTCTCCAGGGAACAAGGCAGCAGTCGGGGTGCATGAGTCCCAGGCTGCGGGAGGCCCCAGGTACCCCAGGGCCTGGGCCTGAGGTCCAGATAGACCCTCATTCCTGTACCCCACCCCACCTGGTTCCCCTCCAGATGGGAGGCATGGAGGCTGTCATCACGGGCCTGGCCGATGACTTCCAGATCCTAAAGCGACACCGGAAACTCTTCACATTTGGAGTCACCTTTGGCACCTTCCTCCTGGCCCTGTTTTGCATAACCAAGGTGAGGAGGGGCTGGGTCCTGGGTCAGCCAAGCTTCTGGGGCTGCATTTCAATGACGTCAGACATTCCCAGCCCTGGAACTGGGGGTGAGCAGGGCCAGGCTGAGCTCAGAGGAATGATGTTCTCCAGGGCACCCTCCACCAGGGACCTGATCCCCTGGGGCCAGGCCCTGGTAGTCTCCTCCCACCCCTGAGCCTGAGGGTTTCCAGGCTGCCCTCTTAACTGCTTGTTGATTGACAGGCAATAGACATCCCTTTGAAACTGTCTCACTCTGTGCTGGCTGAAGCACCCACCATGCACCTGGTGACTCCCCCGACATCCATGCAATAGCCCCACAGTCCTGTCGCCTGCACTGTCAAACAGGGCTCTGGGCCAGGGGGATGGGGGACAGGTAAGAGCTGATGGGCACAACAGTCGGTGCCCGTTTCTGGCCAACGCAGCTTCACGCTGTTTCTCCCCGTGCCCCAGGGCGGAATTTACGTGCTGACTCTGCTGGACACCTTTGCTGCAGGCACCTCCATCCTGTTTGCTGTCCTCATGGAAGCCATTGGCGTCTCCTGGTTTTACGGTGCGTGAGCGTGTGCAAAGGCCCCGGCCCCCCCAGTCCCCCCGGAGCCCTTTCGCCTGGAGATGCAAAGGAGCAATGTTGTCCTGGAGTTTGTCCCCTCCTTTGTTCTACACCTGCAAAGTGCCTGTCCCCAGGTTGCCGAAGTCCCAGGGGTTCAGCACCTGGCCCCACTGCCCTGCTGTCCCCCGGGGGCCGGAAGCTCAAGGGAGGGTCCGCTGTGACGGGCCCGCCCTGTGTGTGCGCAGGTGTGGACAGGTTCAGCAACGACATCCAGCAGATGATGGGGTTTAAGCCGGGCCTGTACTGGAGACTGTGCTGGAAGTTCGTGAGCCCTGCCTTCCTTCTGGTGTGTAGCGTGTGGCCGGGGAGCCCTGGGGGGACGGGGCGTGTCCAGGATGGGGCTGGGGTGGATCCAAAGGCCCCGGCCACACAGGACGCTTGGGAGGCTCAGCCCTGCTGACACCACAGTCAGCTTCCACCTAAGTGGGGGTCTTGAGCCCGGGACCCAGGGCCCTCGGGGGGCGGGCGTTGTGCCAGCTCCGAAGTCACCGTTCTGCTCTGTCTTCTTTCCTCCACGCTGTTCTCCAGTTCGTGGTGGTGGTCAGCATCGTCAACTTCAAGCCGCTCACCTATGACGACTACGTCTTCCCGCTCTGGGCCAACTGGGTCGGGTGGGGCATCGCCCTGTCCTCCATGGTCCTGGTTCCCGTCTACATCGTCTACAAGTTCCTCAGCACGCGGGGCTCCCTTCGGGAGGTGAGCGCTGGGCTGGCCCCGCGGGGGACAGGGAGGAAGGCGCCAACCGAGTCATTCCTGTTGGGGAGAGAGCGGGGAGACAGAGGACACAGACGCTAGGGTCAGGAGGACCCGCCTCATTGGCCAAGTTCTTTACCCCGGCCGAGCCTCAGTTTCCACATTTGTGCCCTGTGGGTAAAACTATTAATATGTGTCGTGAAAGGAAAAAGGGGGTGGCGAGCGCAGCGCCTGGCAACCAGGAGGTGTTCGGTTCCCTCCTGCTCCACCATTACCGATGCGAGAAGCAATGCCGAGCCCGGAGCTCGCTGAGAGACGATTAGACAGACTGCCTGAACGGGGCTCACTCCTGTGTCCCCTGCTGAGGTTTGTCGTGTCCCCAGATGTCCCGGCTTTCCCTGTCGAAGCCCACGCGACCTGGTCATCTTGGTATTTACCTGCCTCCTTCGGGCGCCGAATAATCTGATCAGCCTAAACCAAGAGTTTTCTGAAATATATTTCTTCTTTTACACGTATGCATTATTATATATGTGTGTGTTTAGACATGTATGTGCGAATATTTATGCATGTACGTGTAAACTTACCTAGATATTTGGGAAATGGTGCCCTTTATCTGAAGTTATGTCATTCCTGATATTTGGTTGTTAAAATACCCTTTCTTTTATAAATTCACGGCGACAGTCTTTTCCTCATATCTTTACTTCGCAAAACGAAGGTTTCATTCCTTCATTCTTTTATCCACTGACTTGCCAGGTATTTATTGAGAATCTAATACGTGCCAGGCAGGATTCTAGGCACTGGACAAAAATCCCTGCCTTCATGGAGCTCACATTCTAACGAAGAGACATAAACAAAATGAGGACATGCAGGAGCTTAGGGAAGAGGGTTCCAGAAAGACAACCCCTACGCCCATTCTTTGTGTATGTTTCCTGCCCGTGAAATCCCAAAGTCTGGGGGCCTCTGTCCTGGGGGGATGGGAGGGTTGGTGTTCAGTGAACTCATCCTGGACATGGGAACAGGGACCTAAGCTTTCTATTCTTCTCACCCTGGGAGTGGGGACGCTTCCTATTATCTAGTGATCAGCCGCTGGCTTAGAACACACGCCCTGAGTCCCTGCATGTGTCTACACTCGCGGGGCCTTCCCTGGTCCCCCGCAGGGCCGAGTGCCTCCTTCCGTGCTCTCACTGTGCACATGATCCAGTCTGGGGTTGAAATGACCTCTGTGTGTGTTCGGTCGGTGCCAGTCCCTTACGTGGGCTGTAAGAGCAGAGACAGCACAGGGCCGCCTCAACTCTGGACCCGCGGAGCCTAGCCTGGCGTCTGACACAGTGTGAACCGACCGGCTCCACCAGCAAGGGTGGTTGTCCTGCACAGATCTCGCATGCTGTCCCTGTGGGGCTTCAGGGCCAATCACTGGGTGGCCCTTATCTGGGGGTGTCAGCCAGGCCTGTGGGAGGGTGTCCCAGGTCCAGGCTGAGGCCTCCTCCCCGCCTCCATCCTCTCACAGAGACTGGCCTATGGCATCACGCCGGAGAACGAGCACCACCTGGTGGCCCAGAGGGATGTCAGGCAGTTCCAGGTAGGCGCAGCCGGACTACGGGGGTGGGGGCCGTGGGAGCAGGTCCTGGCCACTCCCTGCTATGCGCCGCCCAGGCAGGACCAGCAGCCAGAAAACCCAGAAGGCTGTGGGCTGTAGCCATGGGGTGTGGTGTCAGGTCGGGGTCGGGGAGGGGACTGTCCCCTGCCTTCTATCAGCCCCGGGCGGCCCCTCTGCTCCTTGGTCCTGGGATGCCATTGCCTCAACCTTCCCACAAGTCTATTCTACCTCTGTGAGTTGTCGCCATGGAGTGCCACCAAACTAGGCTGGGACTTTCTTATCCGGGAGGAAGAGCCGCAGGTGCATCGGCACCACACTGACCTGGGCCCACCCTTTCCCCTGCAAACATGGGGACAGCGGCATGGGGGGGCTCCCGGCGGGCCCAGCACTTCGCTTCAGACTCACTGGGTCACTTTGGGAGGACTCCCTTGCCCTTTCTGGGCCTCAGCGACAACAAGGGAGTCATCCTGCGTGTCTGCTGAGGTCTGTGGAGGGAGGGGGTGTTTTTCTGCTTCCCTTCCTTGCCGCTCCTCCCAGCCCCGGCCTGCCTGGGCCCGTGCTAAAGGCCGCGTGTCTTTCTCTGCAGCTGCAGCACTGGTTGGCCATCTGACCCCGGCCTGCGGAGGAGGAACCCCACCTGCCGACGTCCAGGTCAAAGGCATCCGCTTCGCTCCCACCTCGGACGCTGTCTCGGGATTCCTCTCCTGGGAGGTGTCCTTTCCGACGCCTCCTTCCTCTTTTCCCAGCTATGAAACGATTTAGTGACTCTGGTTTTTGTTCCCCTTCTGTTCATCTGGCCTGAGGGCTGTGAGCTTGGAGGATCGCTGAGCCTCACGGGAGAGGAGGAGAGGAGGGAACAGGAAAAATGACTTCTGTTGAATCCCTTTTGTTCCGGGGGAGTCTCGCCCACTCTGGGAGCCCACCCAAGCTGAGGTCCATGGCTTGGGCAAAATTCCCCACTGCGTTTGCTTGTACTTTGGATCACAGAAGAAATTCCCAGTCCACCAAATCAGAGAGAGGATGAGCTCTGGGTCAGACACCAAAAAATCACAAAACAAACAAAAAGTCCAGCTCATTTACTGAGGGGTGTGTGTGGACTTCCCCTCTCTTGCTCACCCCAGTTAGAGCTCTGGTTTCTGAACGTCAGTCTGGGAGTTCGGATTTATTTGTCCCTGAAATGAAGTCAGTTGATAGCTGCTTTGGAGGGGTCTTGAGCAGAAACCTTCATAGTTAATTTTTACTCTGGCTAATTTGAGTTTGATTCGTGTGTGTTCTGGAACATTCTTCTGGTTTCTAGTGGTCAGATGGCCCAGAGCCGTGGGTGTCAAGGGGAAGACTGTAAATGGACCACAGTGAGCAGGTTCTGCGGAGGTACCTGTATCGGACGAGCTGGCGGAGGCCACCAGGCTGGCCTTGCTCTGTCAGTCTGTCCAGCACAGGAGCCCAGAAGCCCATCTGTGGTTCCTGAGACCTTCCTGGGGGACCTCGGGCAGGGACCCAGTGGGGCCAGATGCCTGTCTCCACCAGGGGATTCTACACTGTCCTCATGGGGCCAGGTGGGTGCCCACGGGCAGCCTCACAGGCTGTTGTATTTATTTATCGCTCGTGGATACCTGCAAAGCCTTTCCCTGGGAATCCTACCCAGCGTGGCCCAGGGGTCATGAGCAATGGGGACGTGGCCCTGAAGACTCCCTTTGTCTCTCTTCATGGACTAGACTGGGCACCTCTGAGGGCAGGGTGGGACCAAGGCAGCCCCATCACTCCTGGTGAGGCAGAATATTCTGAGAGGATGGACGGGCTGGTGGTGTAGACGGTGTCTGGGTCACTCCTGACACAGACTTGCACGTGGCGCCCTCTGGTGGTGCTGGTGGTGAGTTTGGCTTCAGTAACAGAAACGATTAATGGTTTGCGAAGTTGGTGCATCTTTTTGGGGTTTCTGTTTATGGTTTGAGTCTGTTATGCCCTGTTGGAAAGGGCTATGGGAGCCCCTACTGCAGAATCTTGAGCCAAAATAAGACAGGCCACTGCACTGACACTGGGGAATGTGGGGAGACGCATCGAGAAGGTACTTTGCCTGAAACTAGGATGTCGCTGAGCCGGAAGGATCCTGCAGGAAGAGGGTGATGTGGGGGCAAGCCAGGGCCAGGGAGCAGGTGTTGTCTCTGGTGGCCCCGAGATTACCTTCCTGAATCAGGGTCCTCGGGTCACTGCTTAGAGAAAACAGGGAAAATCAGGACACTTTTGATCTTCCCATATAAAAAGGCCAGCTCGAGGCCTGAGACAGTCCCGGTGGCAGGTGTCCTGGAGCCTTGTGAGAGGCGAGGCCGGAGCATCCAATCGGGTGAGGGTCTGGGCCCTGTTAGTGACTTCAAATCCTCCCACAAAAGGCGATTCCTCCCTAGGTGTTACCATTTTTTTTTTTTTTTTTAATTTTACAAAGCACTTTTACCCGCATCACCTTCCGTCTTCCTTGTGAGGACTGCGGGGCTAGCTTCTATCTCCCCATTTCCCTGGTGAGAAAACCAAGGTCCAGCATGTCAGCTGCTCTTGCACAAGGTTTCTCAGCTCCTAAGGGATCGAGTCGGACTCTCAATTCGCATCCCCGTCTCTCAGCCCTGAGCGCTTTCAAATCTCCTGCATGATTTGCTTCACCCCACCCAGGGCTGTCATAAAAAAAAAAAAAAAATCCGTCTGAGTGGCAAAGGAGCATTTCTTAGCAAAAGAACAAAGTGTTGGAAGAAGGGAAGAGATGAGAGAGTGGCATTTATTCCCCTCTAAGTGGTTGCCAGAGAGGAAATTATTTAGCTGCTGTCTTTTGATGAAAAGAATCACTCTTTAGAACAGTTGGGCATGAAAAACTGAGTCTGTTTGGCTGAAATGAGAGCAAACAGTCAGAAAAGCCCGTGTGCTTTAGACCAGGCTTTAGACCACACTTCAAAGAGAGCCCGCAGTTTTCCCTTTGCCATCTGCATGTGGCCCCTTCTGCCTCCAGACATTTGTCCCAGGGGCGCATGGGAGACGTGGTGCTAGCTGAACCAACACCAACCAGTGCCATGGTGCTGCCTTGCGGCGGGGGTGGCTCCTAAGTCTGGGGGAGGGGAGGAACCTGGCTCCAGGTCCAGGCCCCCGGGCAGGTGGGGGTACCTGGAAAGCCCCCGGAAGTTCTTGGGGAGGAGCTGGGAGACCACTGGGTCCACCTTTCCATCCACCTTTAACGGAGACGGATTATGTGCTGTATCACAAGTAATGTTTGACTTCTTTTTTTGTGGCCTTTTTTTAATAGCAGAGGTCACCCAGGACAAGGGTGCTCCTGTGTACTGTATATGACACTTGACACTTTTGATATTTTTACCAGGTTTTTAAAGAATTATTATTTTCCATGAAAAGTAAACTATCGGTTTCAGACCATCACGTTCACATCTACTCAGCGTCTAGTTCCTTAGCACCCTCCTGCTAGTCTTCATTCCACACGCCAGTGAGACGAAGGAGAAGGGGACCTGCCAACTCTTGCCAAGCATCCTGCTGAACAGAAGTCCCCAAAGCTGCCTTAACTCCCGGAGGGAGTCCCCACCCAGGTGGGAGCCAGTGTCCTGCCATATGATCTGTTTTCAAGCCTTGCTAATGTGAGGCTGAAGCATTCTTACCAAAGAAGTCATTTCTTCGTAACGAAGCCCGTTGAATTCACTTCATTTGTTTGCTTATTATTATTTTTGAAAGCCACGGAATGGAGAAGAACAGAGAGGGTGTGTGGTGTGGTGGAGACAGCACAGGATTTAGAGTTGCACAGACCTGGGTCTGCAGCTGACTAGCTGGGTGGCCAGAGAAAAGTGGCTTCATCTTTTGGGGCTTCAAAGTTACTTGTCCGTAAAATCAGGGATTGGATCAGATAATCAAAGATCCCATTTAGTTAAAAAAAAAAAACTGCATGTCTCCATGACAAGGTTCTTGTGATAACTTTACTTGCAGGAAGCATATCACCTTACTGTAGGAATTTCCAAAATGATCTGGTGACCAATGACCTACTGAGCAGAGAAATGCGAGATTTCTGGTCTTCAGGACTTCGATTTTTCTGGGCATTCAGTAGTTCCTATTGCTCAGATATATTTTTTTCAGCTGATGCCAGAAACACTTGGTATTAAAAAAAAAAGTTTCCAACCCTTTTGTTTTTTGGCTTGTTTTGAGGAATTGGAAGGTAACACGTTGCCATGCCCTTGTAAGTCCCGGGGTCCACAGCTCTGCAGGAAGGCGGCAGAGCCGTTTCTGCAATCACAGAAGCCACTGACACGTTGGTGAATGTGAAGTCACTTTTGGGGTGCCTGCCCTCGTCCCTCTGTCTCTCCGCTTCTGTGTACATAATGGCCGTTTCAGTGGTGTCCTCTCTGTGTCATGGACTGTTCCAGTGTCATGCAAACTTCTGTGTTTTGTTTGGATTTATTTTAAAAATTGTTCTCTTCATGGAAAAAAAAAAATCCATGTACAGAATAATAAAGGATACTTCCTGTGCCACATATCTGGTAATGCAGTTGTGAATGCTTTCTGCCATGAAGGTAAAATGCTACGAATATTATGTAAAGCAAGGGGGTTTGTCTATGACCAGCTTCCAGCTAGGGAAAAAGAGCTTCTGGTCCTAGTGGCCAAGCTTTCAACTAAATAACTCTTTTTATAATCTGTGGAACAGGAGACTGGAAGGATTAAATCTGTAATCCGAGCTCTGAGATTGACACATTTTTATTTAAATAAAAAGTGGGTACCAAGTGAACTGGTTTAGTTTAGTTTTCATTTCTAAGGCTGAATTTCAAGGGTATCAGGACCTCCAGTTGGATCGAATTAAACCTGCAATGGCTCCCTACTGCCTCCAGGATAAAGTGCACACTTCATAGACTGCACAATTTGGTGCGTTTGTGATTTTTTCTGGGAAGAGGGATATATTCGCATCTTTAGAGCTGAGTATTGTCATTGTTTGGGGAAGGTGTGAACTTACATGTAATTTTTTTTAATTTTTTTTTTTTTGAGACAGAGTCTCACTCTGTTGCCCAGGCTAGAGTGCTGTGGCGTCAGCTTCGCTCACAGCAACCGCAAACTCCTGGGCTCAAGCGATCCTCCTGCCTCAGCCTCCCGAGTAGCTGGGACTACAGGCACGCGCCGCCATGCTCGGCTAATTTTCCTCATTTTCTGTAGAGGTGGGGGTCTCGCTATGTTGCCCAGGCTGGTCTCGAACTCCTGAGCTCGAACGATCCGCCCGCCTCGGCCTCCCAGAGAGCTAGGATTACAGGCATGAGCCACCGCGCCCAGCCCACATGTAATTATTTTTAGTGCAGATCATCAGGTAGATGGCAACACCTAAGTAAAGGAGGTGTTGTTAAATAATCATTCAGTCAATGACTTCAAATACGTAAAGGCTGTCGGAGTGTATGATGGGCCCAAGTACTGAATTGAGGCCAATGGCAGAAAGTCCAGGAAGACAGCTTGCAAAATTAGACCTGCACAGAGAATAGGCTGTTGCTAGAAGTAGTGAGCTCCCCAGCACTGGAGATATGCAAGGAGATAGCAGTCAATGTCTCATGGGGAGGTGGGAGGAGGGGGAGCAATGTCAGGTGGGATTGGCGGAGGGAGGTTATATACCCTCTCAGGTCCCTTCCATTTGGAGCCCCTGGGATTCTTTTTGGACAGTCACAGCCCAGCCTTGCCCAGCAGCATTTAAGAGATGCAAATACGTTTATGCCAAGGATCCTGGGGTA